AAGACTTTATAATTAAAAATTTTTTGTTAGATGTAGCCTTACTCCAATTCAATTTGGTGCTGAGATGTTACAACATGTGGAATAGTGAGGGTTATTAAAGATGATAGAAGAGGGAGCGGATGATCATAGCAATAGAATCTCTTAGATATATAGGATTTGCCTTATTGGAGTATAAATCTCATTCAGCATAATTTAGATGTCATACATATTGAGAGAAATGTATTCGATAATATTTTTAACACAATCATGAATATGTCGGGTAAGACTAAAGATAATACCAACTCTAGAGAAGATTTTTTTTTTTTTAGGAAACGGGATTGGTACTCGATAGGTATATTCAAAAGCATGAAAAGATACAAGGAGGGACAAACTAGCCTAGCCTAACAATTTGGGAGGACAAGGGCCTAAACCCTCACAAAATTTTAAAAAGTTTCCTAAAAATTAATTATCTAAAAATATGTAAAAATACTCACTCAACCTAGTGATAAAAGCACCAATTGAATCATCCTACCTAGGTAGATAGTTATGAAGGCGTAATTTATCTTTTAAAATTACTGCTTTATAAGAATGAGGCAAATCCATAGTCGAAAACATTAATTTAGAAGAAGAGTGTTGGAAAGCCCAAACAGCTATTCTATCTACCACCAATTATTTGCTCATACGTATGTATGAGAACATTGTCTTGAAGAATAAATTCCTTACATTGTCTCATGATATATGTTAATTTCCAAGGACATGAGCTAGTGGAAGATAAGCAACCCAAAACCAAAGCCGAGTCTATTTCTTCAATCTCGGCTATTAAAGAGAATTCACCGTAAAGTTTTAGTCCCTCTAGTAATGCTAAAGCTTCCCCTTTTGTATTAGTACTCACAAGTAAAAAAGGCCAAAACGAGATTACCCCTATCATCCCATAAAATACCTCCCCCATAATAAATATTATCCCTAGAAGCATCGTCTATATTTAACTTAAGTTTACCTAATTGAGGGAAATGCCATCTAATCCACTAACCTCTACTCTGTACCACTTTTTGCTCCTTTAATCCCAAAGTAAGCAAACATAATTTATCATGAAAGCCTCCACTAGTAGATGGGTAAAACAGAGAGGACGAGTTTATAAAACCAAGAACTTACCTTTTGCTTGAATAGCTTGAATAAACATGGTTATGTTTTCAAATATCGCTCCGTTTCTTGCCATCCAAAGCTCCCAAATAATATTATTAAAAACTATCATACATGCAAGCTGCTTATGAGTCCGAGGTTTACCTTTTCTCAACCACCATATAGATAGTTGTTTCGGGTTATTTACTCTAGTGATTCGAATCCAATATCCGTCTAAAATACCTCCAAACCTCATTTGCTATATCTCTATGGATGAAGAGGTGCGATATAGATTCTTCTTTTAGAGTGTAACAACATTGACATTTAGAAACTAATTGAATGCCATAAGTTTTAATGTTACATTCCACGAGCAATGGTATTATCAAGGATTTTCCATACTAGAACACCGATCTTTCTTAGTAACCAAGGATTCCATAGGCTTCTCCACCACTCGGATTTTGGAGTAGTGACTTTTATTTCTTTTTCATACAATTTCGAGGAGAATTTCTTTGATTTAGTTGTAGTATACATCAGTCGATCTTCTTTAATAACATTTAGTTTCACCTTATCCAACTATGATTGCATCGGCGAGGGTAGTGACATATAAATGGATATGTCTTGTCGACCTTATTGAACCATGATTTACAAGTTACCACTTGGTTGTGAAAATTTCAATAACGACCATTTATCTCTCCAAAGGAATATTTTTCCCGCCTCTACTCTCCAAATAGAATGATCCGATAAGTAGCATATATGAGGGAATAATTTTTTTCATACAAACAACCCCTTCGTCTCCTAACCTAAGTTGACGAATAAAACTCCCTATACTTAGCTCTTATGAAACGAGTTCCATAGAGACGAGCTTGTTAGAAATGCCTAAGTTAATTTTCCTTTTATAGCTCCCATCACCTTATTAAGATTCTTAATGCCCGATCCACACTACTTATACAAAAAGTGAAATAGCATTCTAATTAAGCTAATTATGCCTACTATCTCCACCACTTGCTTCAAAAAAAATTAGAGACATGACCTTGTATTACGGATATCACTATCTTTAGAATTGGAAGGACTCCCATTATGTATATAGGAATGGAAGATAAAACACTTTCAATTAGTGTTAGCTTCCTCTAGCAGATTGAAGTCGTGCTTTCAATCCTACAACCTTGTCTTTGATTTTAGCCTCCGGGTTTGTAAAATAGTGAATTCAAGTTTTATCCTTAAATAAAGGCATTCCCAAGTATGTCATCACCTCATCCGACGTTGAAAAACTATCTAGATGGACATAAGTTCTTTTCTACTCGTTGATAATTTATTACTACAACTAAATGAGCTTTTTCTTCTATTAATAACCTTTGCACTTATAGTTGCATAAACTTGAAGTAGTTTCAACAACCTATCAATACTCATCTTCCCACCATTAGTGAAGATAAGCATGTCATCCATAAATAATAGATAAGAGATAACCATGCTATTTCTCTTGACATAAAAAGGCTTGATAGAACCTGCCGACATCAACAAGTTTAAGTGTCCGGAAAGCACATCTTAAGCCAAGATGAACAATGCTAGAGATAGTGGATCTCCTTACCTCGCACCATAAAATGACTTAAAAAAACTAAATGGGTAGAAGTTAAGGTAGATCAAGTACCAGCAATTGGATATATATTTAAATATCAACTATTGCTAGCTATAAGAAAACCTAAACCTTTCTAAAACCCGAAGGAGGAAAGACCATTCTAGTCTCTCATATGCCTTGGACATGTCAATATTCAGTATAATATCCCCTCCATGTATTTTTCTATCAATATCATTGAATATTTCCTAAGCTAATGCCACATTCTCATGAATCGGCCTTCTCTTGACAAAACCAAATTGTTCCCCGAAGATTAAAGATGAAAGAACTACTCTCAATCTATTTATAATAATTTGAGACTCGTATTTTATAAGAGAAGTTACATAGGTTTATGTGGCATAGATCCTCAAACCTAAAAGGATTCGGACATTTAGGGAAAAGGACCGGATTAATGGAAGTAGCCGCTTTTGGAATTTTTCCCTCTAAATACATCCTAGTTAGCAAGCACTACACCTTTCTCTATAATGTCCTAAAAGATTTATAAAAAATGCCTATAAAGCTATCTAGTCTTAAAACACTACCTTCATCCATGTCAAACACCACGGCTTTGATCTCTTCTACCATAGCGAGTGCCATTGGAGCTTCATTACGTTCATTGGTAACTAATGGAGGTCGAACGTTAAGGAAATCATCCTTTATTGATATTGCTAGACTTTTGAATATGTTTTGGAAATAAACAATATGTTGCATTACCTGTCTAGGTATCATCGGCATAGTCCGAACCATCCTCTTATTTAATTATAATTTTAGAACTTATTTTACATTTGTGAGCATATGAATGAAAGAAAGAAAAATTTTTGTCACTTCATCCGAGCCATTTAACCCTTGCTTTTTCTTTTAACATTTCTTCTTGTTCCACTAATTTAGCCAATTTTTCCTTAACGGCCAAACAATTGTTATAATTATCCCGATTTCATAATACCTATAGAATAATTTCTATTCTAACCACTTCATCTAAAGCTTCATTCACCTTTTGTTTTATATCCCTAAAGACCTTTCAATTCTAGGTTTTTAATTCTCTCTGCGATGACTTGAGTTTCATTTCTAGGTTCATGAAACGATTACTACTTGATACTTTACCCTAATTGTTACTTGAAAAAAGCTTGAAGGTGCCCATAGGTAGTCTATATTTTCTTAAATAAGAATTTAGAAGGTTTAAGATTATCTCTTTCCCGGGATAGCAATAACGAATAGTGATCCGAGTAGATCCTAGAGAGGTAAGTGCATGTAAGTCTTGGAAGATAAGATATACTTATAGAGTTAATAAGAACATTTCTAGCCTTTTTTTTAATCCAAGAAGTTTCTTCTTTGTTATTGCACCACGTAAACTTGCTATCATAAAAGCCAATATCATATACTCTTAATAGATTGATACCACTCGTTAAACTTAAACATTGAACCCAACTCATAATTAGATTGGATGCCTCTAGCTTTTCGGATACATTTAATATTACATTGAAATCTCCCCCTATTATTCATGGAACTAAAATGTTTAGAGAGAAGAGATTACCCTAGAGATTTCTCCTTTCAGCTCTATCACAACTAGAATAAATAATAGAGAAGGATAAAGCTTTATCATTTACTATATATGTAATCGTGCATGCCATAAATTGAGCATAAACCACTAGTACCTCCATCTCTAAGCTATCTTTCTATAGTATCCATATATGTTGACTAACGGGATTACCATGTGCAAAACCGGTAAACTTTAAAGATCTAGCTAGTTTGGGGAACTTCATCCTCATTTTTTTAAGTTATAATAGTACTAGAAATGAGACATAATTTAATGTAAGTAAGTGCTTTAAATATATTTATTTATCCGAGGCACAAATGCCTCTAATGTTCCAAATCATGTTATTCATTTAGTAGTTCCAAAAACGATTCCCCATTATGATCTATATCGGACCTAGTTACTCGTCTTCCACTTAGTTATACCGGGTTTTTAGCAGTTCCTTTTTCTATTTCTTGTTCATTGTTTTCCCTTGAATCTCCATTATTCATATTTTTTTTCCTATAAAGCATGAGCAACCCATTCATATTTTTCATATGTGCCTTCTAATGCTGCATGAGGAGATAAATCAACCTCCACCTCATTTGGTAGCTGCCCATCATCCAACCCCTCATGTGATAACAGGATGAAATGATTCACAATAGACTAGTTTTGGGTTTGTATTGTGTTTGGTAAAGATACTGTAACCTCTACTTGTTTACTATCTATCACTTTATTGCATAGCCTCGTCCTAGTTATTTCCATGCATAGCCCCCTATGAAACTACTTAGAGGAAGGGTCACCTTCTAACCGCCCACCTAAAATATCATCATCCTTTTTAGAGGACAAAAGCCTATGCAAAGGATCTATAATTTTTGACATAACACACTCTTGTAGCAGACTTAAATTAGGATGGATTTCTACCTCACTCCCATTCAACATCTCATCCAACTTGGATGTTGTATGCTTCGTAGCAAATCTATTGAAGATTGCTCTTATAATAAATTCAAGTGGGGTCGGTTTCCTAACCGACATTCCTACAAACTCGTAATTGAGTTTAGTGTTATATTCTTCTATAGTAAGTTTATAGAAGACTGTTCAATAACTATAGTATTATTGATTATGTATTGTATATCTTTTTCATTTTCTCCTCTTTCTTTCTTAACTTAACCCTTGTCCTTTTCCATTCCGCCTTCTCGTGGGTTTGAGATACATTGATTCGAGGATGGTGGGTTAAAGTTTATAGAGGAAGAAGCTATTCCTCTTGTCTCTTGTAAAATGGATAATATGATAGCCAAAATTGGACCAGATCAATTATATCTCTTTTCCTTTGCTTCTATTTCTATATAAAGCATTATTTGCTAATTACTCGCGACGATACTTGTGATACTTGTCTTCATATCCTTATTATCCATCCGCACTTCTTTCTCCATTACTATTTTCCATTTTTGTCAAGATTTTTCATAAATCCTTCCAAGTTTCTATATTGGTTTTTATATGATAGATTCGACGAGTTTGTGACACTATGATTTTATGTGACCTTATAACATATAAAATTCAAAAAAATCAATATTGAACTCTATGTGGATAGGTCGCCAAAGGCCCTTATTCTTATCATGGTCAACTAATATCCGGACCCTAGATGGCGAGTGTTGCTTTCAAGTTCATTTCCACACGGACTCTTACAAACATGGGATGAGACCGAGTAACTATTCTATTATCTAGATGTAGGAATGTACCAACTAAGTGAACTATTTCCCTTAGAAAGGTTGAGGGAAAGAAAGGTAGGGATGAGCCCGGAAGTTTTACCCATATTGATGTCATGGAAGATTCGTGTCGAGTGCTAAATGTTTCATCTCACTTAAATAACCGAAATAATGAATTTTCAATCAAATAATAATCATGGGACCAAACCTTGACGAGATCTTCTCCGAAGAACAAATGGATCAAGCACTTAGGATCTATTAAGCCCATTATCGAGTTTCTATAAGACTTCAATCTGCTAGATATGAGATCCGATAGTGTTTATGGGTGGCCTTTCTCTAAAGAATTTAACAACCGGAGAGTGTTTAAATATTTTCAATGATTGTTATAAATCGGATATGGAGAATTCTACGAGTAGGTTCACCTTCATATATGGAGGGTGGTTTTGAGGTGATATGAAGAGAAGGGAAACGAGTGCATGGTAGGGCTTTAGTTTAGGGTGGCGGCTATATAAAAAAGCTTTTGTTTTGATTGTAGTGAAGGTTCTGTTGTATGAGGAATAAGTATAGGAGGTCTGGATGGGTAGTGATCGAGGGTCGGGTAGTGGGGGGAGGAAGCGACCTCCCTCATAGGGGCTCCTTTCAGCGCAATGCTACCGAAAACTAAGGTTCACCATGGCCGCCTTTCTTTCTCAATTCTTTCATATACTTCTTCTCTAGAGAAGACTTAAAAATTTTATGTATTAGACCAAAATTAGCAACGGATAATGCCTCTAGAAAACACCTTAAAACTTTTTTACCCTTTTTAAATAATAGAAAACAAAATTACTCGAATGGATTAAACAACTTATGTTTTCCGACTCATAAGTGTCCAACTTAGCTAGATGTGCTTGATATGAGGAATAAGAAACTATATAGGATGAAAAGTCATGACCACTACATCTTTATATAGGTGTTTCATTGTATTTCGAGAGCTTTTACTAAAAAATATTTGACAAGTACTTATCGAGTTGAGTTTGTTCTTTAAGAAATTGACTTATATTGTGATAAAAGAAGAAGATATGATATAGTTTTATGATGAGATACCCATCATTTTATGTAAAATAGAATGTATATTCCCTCCTAACTTTTTTTAACTCCACGAAATATCTTCCCATTCACTTGGGCTAGAGGCATCTACTACGGGACCTATGCAATATCAATAGATGTATTAATTTGAAAGATAATGATATTAAATTTTAATATTAAATTAAATGAACTTATAGTTATTAAATATTAAATTAATTTATATTGTAGGTACCTTTAGAAGCTAATAAAATGTCAAGAATAAAACTAAAGTAGAAGGGTCAATATGTAATGGATATTTGGTTGAATAAGCCTCTTTTTCTTGTTCGTACTATTCAAGTCTCATATTCATACTAGGCATCGAGAAAATGTCATGTGACATTGAGTGCGATGGAGAAGAGAGCGATCATATTAAAGGAATGCTATCCATATTTAAACAATAAGGTCGACCAATTGATCGACACACAAGATGGATGTTGACGAGAAAAAAAAAGCACAAAGTAGCCCATTAATATATATTATTAAACTATGAAGCAATAAAACCTTACATTAAGTAAGTTTGTCAAACTTCTATATCAAAATTATACATCTTTACTTACCTATCATAATATTAGTAATCATAATAGACACACTAACTCTCGAATGTTATTATTCCTCATTAGTGGATTCATTATTGAAGTGTGATAAAACAATCCCTTCATGTCCGAGAATGAGGTTGATGCTCTATTTGAAACCGAGTTTTCCTCCTAGTTTAGTCACTATGCATAAGTAATTTTCATGACATACCTATTCATAAATTATCTTACATGAGGCTCTTTGCTTACTTGTTAAGTTATACCCGGTGTTATTATTAATGGGTATAGGTTTTAGACATTATAAGAAGGTTTGTAAATAGCAAGTTTCAATAGCGGTGTGTGCATTAAAAGAACCAATTAAAGTATAATTGAGAGATACTACTATGGGATATTGATGGAAATTTTACAATTAGAGTATTCTACATTACCAATCAAGGGAACAATATTATTCAAATGCGATTGGTTCGATCCTACACCATAAGGAACAAGTGTTCATTTGTACTACGGACTAGTGAATGTTAGCTACGGTGAAAGGTTGAGGAATTATGAACCCTTTGTCCCGGCATTACAATCAGCTCGGATGTAGTATGCCGAGTATCCTAGCATGAGGTACGACAATCGGGATCGATGGGCTATTTATAAGATCAAAGCTAGGTCCGTATTTGACTTGCCTAAATCATCCGTTGCGAGTCCAATAAACTCGCTAAACTATTTCAATCGGTCGATTTAGAAATTTTACATGATTTTAAACGGAAAGTTGGGGATGATCTATTATTGAATAATCTAAATGGATTGTTTATAAGTATAAATTATTTAAGGCTTACAAAGAATATGAGAATGAATATGAATCTATATCGAAATAGAGAGATGAAAACTTAAATAATGATTATGAAGGTTATAATTAAATATATATTTTATCTATTGTATTAGTAAGAAATTATATATTTTTTATTGTTTTATTTGTTATAGTATATCATATTGACTTTGATACATTTTTAAAATGTTGGTTATGTATTTTGGTTGTGTTGTATTTTTAGTAGACTAGGTGTAAAGTAATTTGGAAATTTTTAATTTTTAGAGGAGACTCTCTAGAATTTTTTTTATGTTCACAATTGATAATATATTTGTTGTATTTTGTTTAATTGTCTTAGGTGATATTATTTAGCTATTATGTGTACTTTGTGCCAACCTCTCATAGCCTTTCAAAGATCATAAACTTTTAGTCCTGGACATCCATTCTCGACTAACGATAGCGGATCCGCTTCCCCATCCGAGCATCAAATGTGGATCTCCCTCTTCTAGTGCTCTACGTGGGTCCCGTGGGGGACGTTCATCTTATTCATCTCCTAGAGCTAGCACTTCTACATCGGTTCGGCATTGTCTCCTTTTATAATCGTTCCCACGACTATAGGTGCTCCTCCGAAAGCCAAGCTTTCTCGATCGCCCACAGTAGGTCCCTCATTCATTAATGTACCATTCGATCCAAAGAGCACTCGAGGCTTTGATAGTTGATAGTAGGTTTCAATCGTTAATAGTTAGTAAATAATCTACTTAAAATGTTATAATTATTTTTTTATTTTAATATATCATTTCAATAATTATTGCACGTCTTTTTTTATAGTGTTTGATAGTTTCCATCCGTGTTAGAGAGATTGCTCTAAAAGATTAACCATGATTATCATAAAGTAGTTAGACATTAATGGCTCGGCGTGGAAGTCCATCTTGAAACAAACGAAACGGCTTTACTACGGTGAGTTTAACATAACATATTATTTATTTAGTTGTATTACATTTAAAATATTAAATTAACATAAAATAAACTAATATTAATTTTTTTATTCATGTAGAGGTGTTTTTAATATGATCCGACCATCGAGGCGTAGGTCAAAGATGCTTGAGAGGCTTTGGCTAGGAAGTGCTATTTTGACTTCGTCCACACGCATGGTGCGAACTACAAAAGACCTTTTTGTATTAGGCAGAAGGTGTGGGATTCATGGTAATGAGATTTTTCCACACTTGATCATCAAGGATGTTCACGGTAGGCATCGCATAACCTGGATGTTAGAGATCGATGATGTTGGTTTAGGCCCATCCAGGCATACGGGGGCCCATCTCTACTGCTCGAGCTCGCCTATCGCATGGTAAATCCTATTACGTATTATGCAATGTTTAGGAAATTAATATTTGTAACTCATATTATTTATGTCTATTTTTTTAGGTCGTCTAATAGGGGTGTGAGCACTGCTAATTTAGAGTTCTTTGGGGCCACTCACAACCAAAGAGATGGAACTTTCATCAATTTACAAGCCTAGATAATAATGGTAAGTGTTTTTAATTTTTAAATTATACATATGCAAGCATAATCTAAAAAATTATTATATTTTTTTATCATTATAATTATTTTAATTATGCGGAATAGTGTGGAGGAGTTGATACGGAAAGCCGTTAGGAAGCAATGAGAGGCTGGAATTGAGGAGCCACAAGTCGACACCGACGCCATATACCTCGAAGTCGTAGGAGGATAGAAGAAGAAGAGGGTTTACAAGATCGAGTCACAAGCATCGCGATATTTATATCCGGCACCAACTTATCCTCGATATCATCGCGGCTCCTAGGTGATAATGTTAGTGATCGGATTCGCAGCTAATACAAGGTAACTATGAGGGGAATGCAAGCGAGGTTAGATGAGCAAAATAACATTATCATGCACTAGCGAGATGAAGATCCAGGGGATGGAGACTCGGATTGAGTCGATTACAATGACGTTACATAAGCTCGCGCGGACGTCCCATTTATCGATTGAACCTTCCACTAGCCAAGACTCCACCATCCCTCCCATCGAGCCGCAAGAAGATGAGAGGGGATTAGATGATCATGATGAGGAGTGACTTTTACATTTTCTTTTGTGTTTTTACTCTTTTTCTTATGTACTAACGAATAATTTTTTCAATATGAATTTCAATTTAATTTATAATATTTTAGTTTTAATATAAAAATTAATTTTTACGGTGAGTTGATTGTTTTAATTGTTAGTTACTACAAAGAATATCAAAAAAATTTAAATTAAATATAAAATTAAAAAATATATTAGCTACGTATTAACAACGGATTAGCGATGGAAATAAAGATAAAAAAAAATTTATGCTAAAAAACAGCAACAGGAAAGTACGGTCACTAGTTAGCGATGGAATAGCAAAAGATTTTTTATTGTTACTCAACGAAAAATTTAAGATGAGTTTGCGATGGAATTGCAATATATTATATGGTGGAAAGAAGATGATTTCAACATCCATTTAGTGACGAAATAAATTAAATTAGCGATAAATAATCCATCGTTAAGTTAGCAATAGATACTGTATATTCTGTCATAAAGGTTAGCGATGGATTTTTTTAGGTCGCAAATCCATCTATAAGTAATTTTAGCAACAGAATTTACTACGATAGCAACAGATTTTTTCGTTGCTATTTTGCCTTTTTTTTTTTTTTTTTAGTGCAGCAGAAAGCGATGTATTTAAGATGGTCAAAGTAGTAGTAATATATTCAGCATATATTTACTTTCAAACATCATTTTCGAGCAATATAATAGGGTCAATGTTTAATCCTGCATGATTATATCATCACCAAAAGCCAGCTGCCTTGTTGGGATTCTAAGATTGTCCTAGGTGATCAGTATCTTTTGTTTGGATGCTTTCGTTCACCAATATCCTGACAGTTTGAGCTTTCCCAACAACATATTTTATGTGTTTTAGCATGTGTAGTCAAGCAAGATCATACAAACTAATTATTAAATCAGGCCCAGGATTGACAGGAAGCATATATGCAACTCCAATTTATGTCAAACCCTAGATAATCAATTGGAGTTTTTTTAAAACATAGTTGTCATTCAGATAATATGAGGTAAGCCCATAAATAATTGCATGTTGTCTGTTGGACTTGAGACTTTAGGTCTTAATTTATTGAGGAGACACCGAGTTAGAGACAGTCCATACCATTTTTAAATCATGATGTACTGGTGGAACAGGTAAAGGTAGGTGCTAAAGAAGCCACTTGTCATGATTCTGCTAGAGATGTTAATTATGAAATATTTATTTTATATCCTAGAATTATTAGTTGATATGTGCATGCTATGATTTAAGAAAATGAAGTCTTAGAGGTTTGATTGATATGTACTGCACAAGTCATGGCCAGCAAATCAGAACAGATTTAATCAAAGTATACAGATTGCATTTGCAGACAAAGCTTGAATGACAATATTAAATTAAGTACATATTTTTAAAACATAGTCCTATGGTATCACAACTTTGGCGATGAATATGTTCATAATAATTATGCTTGTTAGTTTATATATATATATAGAGAGAGAGAGAGAGAGACCAATTAAGATTCAATTAATTGAAGTTTCAAAGAAGGAATAATATATTTTACGTGATTAGAAGCATGCTAGACTTAACCTAGCTAGGAGCTGGGTGGAGCACGAACCAAATTCTTAGGTGGGCCAAGTAAGAGATATCATGGAACTTCAAAGAGAAAGAGAGAAAAAAATGATATTTTAGGTTGAACATGAAAATTAAGGGTAAATTTTAGAGAAAAATATTGAATATTTGAACTCTGATGAGGAAACATTGAATTCAAGTTTTATTCTTAAATACCTTGGGAATTTCTAGTTCTAGTAGACCATTAAATATGAGGTACTTTTCCAAAAGAAAAAAAAAATCAAGTTAGATTAATTATTTTTCCTTTGTACTAAAACTTAACCTAACCTAACAAGTGTAGTTTATCGATCAAGGAAATGACAAGGAAGAGTTAACTTTCCTTTTTGTTTTCAAAATACGAAATTGCTGACATTTTTTTTCCCTACCAATCATGCATATAGGGAATGAATCAATTGGCTTGTCTTTAACAGTGCCTGGATTATGGATACTTGAAACTTAAGAAAGATCGATAAGAAAAATTAGTGGTTGCCTTGAGAGAATAGGTGTGGATATTTTGAAACATTTCATGGATGTGATGTAGAGAATCTTGAGAAACATAGCAAGAACAAAAGAAAGCAAAGTGATCAAGCATATGTGCTAGAGCCACCCCTAGCCCCTTTTGGCTTTTGCTTCCTTTTTTGAGCCGTACAAAGATACCATGTCCATTGAAATGAATTAAAGGCTAATATTATTAAGAACTCTGATCCAAAATCAGAAAGAAAAAAAAAAAAAAAAGAAGAAGAAGAAGATATAACTTTTATATACGAATATATATCTGCATGAAGACATACAGGAATGTGGGGAAGTCTGCTAGCTTCCATGGATGTCCAATCCATAGCTAGGTAGGATTTATTCCATCATTTGTTCATTAGATATAACTAGGGTGGCTCAAATAACATACCTTATTTAATGTTTATCAAGTAACTGTGATAGGATTGTTGCTTTATCTAGCTTAATTGATGATTAAAGTCACTTAACATTAATTGTTTTCTATTTTTTTTTCCCGATAATAAAACACATGGTTGGATTAACTTATATGTCAATAAAACTAAGGTTTTTTTTTTTTCAAACAATCTTAAGGATATATCTTCTATATGGATATGGCACATTGAAAAATAAATTTATTTGAATATTAAATATAAAATTTAAATTTAAAAAATAAAAAGAGAAAGTACACTTTTTTTTTTTTTTAACTATGAAATCGATTCCTTGAAATTAAATTCTGCTTACACTTTGCAAGGAATTAAAGAACCCTACTCTTACAAGTGGCTTGTCCAAAATCTAATTATAATAAACTTTCGTATTTACGAAAATATAATCAATTTGTTATATTTTACCACCTTATGGAACTTGTGAAATTACTGGAAAAAAAGAAAAGAAAAAAAAAAACAAGGAACAAGAGAATGTGATTGTCGTTGAGTTGAGTTGAGTTGAGTTGATCATCATTTCCTTTACAACTTTACTTTGTTCGCATGCAGTTTTCTAATGATTTGGGTCGATAACTAAAAATGTTTATTTGTCGCCCGAAACCTTACTAATTAAGGTTTGGTTTTGACAAAATACAGAGGCAAAACTACGTAATTAACTAGCCCTTGTTTTTCATATCCCACTTGTCAAACACTTCAGCTTAGCCACCAATAATGAAACTCCTCATACAACAATCACCAACTCATAGCTCCCTCATTGTTCTATTTCAACACCCACAAATGGTTCTTGCTTTTAACCAAGATTCCATACTTCGCAAACCATTCTTTGCAATGGTTCTAGTCCCTCAAGTGCTTGTTTCTTTCCTTTTCTGTCCACATCAAGACCGCCTTTCCACTTTTTATATTTTTGGCCTCTTTACCCCCACTTCTCCTAGCTTAAAAGCCCAAACCCTTCTCATTAGATTCTAAAACCAAAGCTTCGATAACTTTTTTAAAAAAAAAAAAAAAAAAGCTCTTGTATCCTCACTCTCCTCCTACCGGCCACCTAATTTCTCTTCCCCTGCGTATTTGGTTGCCTAAAATGACCGGAAAAAGGACCCAAAGCAGCCCAATTGGAAGCCCTTCCTCTGAGAACATCTCAGACAGCTCTTCCAAATTAGAGCAAGACCGATTCCTCCCCATCGCCAACGTAAGCCGGATCATGAAAAAATCCCTCCCAGCAAATGCAAAAATATCCAAAGAAGCCAAGGAGACTGTCCAAGAGTGTGTCTCTGAGTTCATAAGTTTCATCACAGGCGAAGCATCCGATAAGTGTCAACGAGAGAAGAGGAAGACTATAAACGGTGATGATCTTTTGTGGGCTATGACCACACTAGGGTTTGAAAACTATGTTGGACCCTTGAAGGTTTATCTCAACAAATATAGAGAGACTGAGGGAGAGAAAAATTCCATGGCAAGACAAGAAGACCAGTTATCTCCCACCAGCCATGGTGCTGTTGCTATTCATGAAACTAACAAACTCAATGGCTCTCTTACTCTATCAACTGAGGTGGATCTTCAAAGTTTTAATGCCGGACTCTACTCACTTGGCACAGAAGTATCAGCCAAAAGCTATGGAGAAAACTCAAGGTTCCTTGGCTATCAGGAGAATTTTATGGCTGGTGATTTCAACATGAATAGGATACGCGAAAATGAAGACAGGAATGGCAATAGAGCTATGGCGGCTCAGCTTCATCATGGGGTTGGCTGGTAGAGAGATACTCTATATATATTTGTATAAGCTTAATTATTTCTTACTTTGCTGTATCAATTAACTATTTGAATCTTCATATCCACACACACATATATATTTAAAGTTATTGCTGCAGATTCTCTTGTGCTCTTAAAAGTATGAAGATCGTAGAGCTTTGAAGAATCTCCATGAAATCTTATGTCTGTTCATTTAATATATAATTCAATTACTACAACTGTGTATGTTTAGGACGATATTATACTTGTGTTGACACCGTTCTTTTTTTTTTTTTTTTTTATCAATCCATAATATATATTGATGAGTAAAAGACGCTAGCCATATGCATGTCTGCCTCTAAAAATTCTTCAAAGATGTCCAGTTATATATGCAGACAATACTAAGGAATAAAAGAATTGATCTATTGAATATAACCTCTTAATTAGCTAGTATAGTAGTATAGCCTATTTCTAAACTCAAGCAAGAAACAGATAGTGGGTACTTTGAATCTGCACTACTGTCATTTCTACAGCTTGTGATTTTAATACTGCAGTAGTTATCTTCTCAGCAGTACTCCACACACAAAACACCAGCAACAAGAGTGAAGCTGAAAACCAAGGTATAGTGATTTTGCAGAGTCAAGTGAACAGCAGTAACCAGCATGCAGTAGTGAGTTCAAAGGAGAGTGATATAGTAACGATTTTAGTAACAATTCTTAAACAGCTGAGCTAGCAAGTTAACCTCAAAGAGAAGTAGTGCACCAGAGATAGACTAAGCAAAAGCCAGAAGCAGCAATCGTACATAAGTGGGAATTGAGTCGCTAACCGCAAATGCTTGAGTCCAACTGTTAAGAGTAATATAAAACCTTTATTGGGAGTCTGGAACGCACCCAATGGCTTGAGTTTTGGGTTGAAATGGTTAGCTGACATAATATTAGAGTTTTGATGATTAAAATAGTTATGAGTTCAAATCTCATCATCTTCAATTTTTTTCTAACTAATTAAAAAAAATTAAGCAAACAGTAGTATAAATATGTACAAATTTCAAATATAAAAAGTTTTCACTTAAAAAAATATATTAAAAAATAATATAAAATTATTTTTTGGAGTATAAAACCTTATTCAGTAACTTAAACTTTTGGATTTACATGTTTTCTAACACCAACTATTTATATAGTTGCTAATAGCATCATCCTTGATTCCAAAATAAATCCGAAGGAGAGAGTCAAAGATCCAATGCGTGAGACCTAAAGAAATCACAAACCGAATTGGAAATGGGATTCTGGATATGTCAAACCAAGAATCGATCAAGTTAAAGTCGAAATCCTGTTATTACTGGCTGGCCTTCTCATCAGTGCTCTCAAAAAACAGATTCATTTTGCTACCCATTACATAAGTGTAGTAGACAGGAGCTCTTTAACACAACAACTAAGGGAAGCACACAAATTATTAATGGTTGCGGTGAATGTTAGGGATGAATTTGAGCACCACAGAGAGCTGAGAACTATATTGCCACCTTGAAACATGGGGTCGGAGACTCTTGGCAGTTGGCAAGCCAAATTCCCCACTGAGAGATTCGAACTCTACTGGGAGTCCTACCAATTAAGGTGGATGGGCACGTAAACCCCAACCTAAGCGCAATCATTATTCTCCTCAAGAAAAATTCACATGGTATCAGTTCATTTCATTATATCTTTTTTTAAGTCCGGACATTACCAAAAGAGGCTGAAAAGTAGCTTTTAAATATTCATTCTACACTGTTGATTCAAATACATGCAATGCTCTTAATTTAGACCTGGAGAGGTGAGAGCGATCGATGATCAGACACCAGAGAACTGCACGAAGCTTTCTATTCTTTTTGTGTTCCCACGAGTTCACAGCTTTCTCTAAGGCTGCTGAGAAAGCCATATGATGTGAGCAACAGGCAACATTTGCAGAACAGAGAAATTTCTGTGATAGCCACCACCGTTACACAGAGATGCCCATGTGGCCATCATATCAGCACACCACCCAAAAGGGAAGCCCCCGTGACAAAAGATACAGAGAGACCATGGTTATAGAAGCTTACAAACAGGAAAACGAGGGCATTGGATCTTTTTTGGCCAAGAAAAAATAATAAGAGGATGGACTGCTGGAGGTCTGCTTTGCTTTCAAAGCAAAATGCAAAAATATGTTGGAAAAGAAACGTGGACACTGGTGGGGATGGTGACTCACTCCATGTATTGATAACAGCACTCGACATTAACAAATATCCATACATATTTGTTTCACTATTAGTGGAGTGCCATTATAAATTAATTAATGGAGTGGTACGGGTCCGTGAGTGAAACAGTTTATTGCACGTCTATTCTGTTTTTTGTATCGCAAAACCATCAATTACAAAACACCACTGCTACTTTCAACTCCTGGCACAACAAAACAATGCCAAACCGGCATTTAATTTTAACAATAACAGAAAAGGTGATGATAGAAAATGAGAAGCGGAATGTTCTGTTATTACCAAGAAGAAATGGTAAAACAGGCCTTGGCTGACCAAAGCAGCACATAAATGTACTAATTAAGCAATCCCTGCTATTCTAATACAAATACAGTAGGAATGACAATTTTCCCAAGGATCGTGCCTGGTAACAAATGACATTAACAAGAAGCAAGGTTGTTGAAAACAAGAGACGATGGGTTCTGCTACAGTACAGCATGTGTTCCTTCGGCTAAATGAAAAACACTTCCCTCCACATTGTTGGTACTCCTATAATTAACTAAACCTACCAAAAGGAAAAAGAAATCCTTGTGCTCTTTCTATTCAGCTCCCATGTACCAACAGATACTCTACCATCCCCTTCCTTCGGATCATGTCATCCTTTTGTTGTATTAGCAGCCAAATGATGCACCCTCAATTACGTACATTCTTTTGCCTGAATAAACCTCAAATTTCAAATCAATTCCAGTAACCATAATGGTCCCTGAATGCTAAAAAATGCATTCCGCTCTGAGGCATTACCTTCCAAGTATATACTATCCAGTAACATTTTAGTTGGCAACATGAAACAACTACATCAGAAGTCCAAACTTCCACATTGTTTGCCCTCAATATTCTTTGTTCCATTACTTTGTTTCACATCCTTCTTATGGTTGTTATCTAGGCCTCGACTTCGTCCAATGCCCAGCTTAGGCAAACCTTTATTGAGTCCTTCGAGCAGAATACAGGCTTTACACCATTTCTGTACATGAAGCGTCACAATGGAACAAGCTATCAGTAAGCAGTTTAGTGGCACAGCTAAAATTCCTAGGTAATAACAGAATAAGATTTCAAAGCTTTCAGATGAAATGCATCACATCTACACCATTCAGTGTATCAGATGAGTTGTTCCACCAAAATCATGCTGGATACTAATCCAATCTGAACTCTTTGCTTATCTCGCATAAAAATAAAACCAAAAGCAACACTCACCTGGCTTGAAATGTAACCACATCGTTCACATGTCCCCTGCTCTGGCATTTTTGTAGACATGGAAATTCTAAAATCTTCCCCTGATTTGATAATGTCAAGTATGGCCCTTGGTCTGCATTGCTAATCAACCAATAATTAATAGGACAACACAAAGAGAGATATAGGAGGAACTTCACCATATTTTTGGAGCCCACAGTTTCTATTTGCATGCAGTACATGCTAATGCAACAAGAACGTCACTAATCCATGGGGATTTTTGTACTCAAGCACCAACAAAGAAAAGAAGTGAAATTCCACAAAAATAAGAAAATAGCATCCTGCATCAATTATAATGAAAAGGGAGAATAAAACAGAGTAGCAACCTCATTCTCTCCAAATCTTTGATGAACTCACGAGCAAAACCACGATATGCATTTGGAGAATATATGCCTGCAACAAAATACTCCATAAATAGAGGCAGACAAACTCACTATCTTATACAAAGTCCAAATTAATAGACAAAAATTCAGATGCCAAGCCCCGACATCCCGCAGAAGCCATGAAAAAAAAAATAAAGGAAAAATAAAGTAACAAAACAAAAGCAAATTACAAAGGAAAAATGGGAAAAGGGTAGTACATTCAGTGGAGAAGTAGTCCAGCTTCTTGAAATAAGCATACGTGAGCATATCTGATTAAGGTTCTCAACTATCACCATTAAGAATCAAATGACAATGGAATACAATAAGCATTAAAGTGTCTCAATGATAACTTAACACTGTAACCATAAGGATATATAACAATCTCCTTCTCATAGGTGTACTTAAACGGCTTGCACCTTGGAATTGGTCCATCCTCCCCAGTTGTTATTGAAGTGCATCTACTCAATCTGCAAGATGAGTTGCATCTACTCAAGTAACCAAAAAAAAAAAAAAAAGAGGAAAATAAAATCAAAAGAGAACCCTCTACCAAGACTGAGTTACCTAGCAATATCGCCTCGCAATATATTCAAGAGTACAGTTTCAGCAATATCATCTGCATTATGCCCAGTAACCAGCTTGTCTACTTTCAACAATGCAGCACCACGATCAAGGGCCTTAAACATGAAGAAATACATCGACCCCATCAAATACATATATCTTATTCTTCAAATGAAACTATCAATATCAAACTGCATGTGAAAACTTTTCTCTAAGCTTCAGATATCTAGGGTAGTTTCAAATACCGTCTGAGGCATAAATTTCAGTTCAAAAAACGTTGTAGAGAATTCCTTCTTAAGCATGACTTAAAGCATTCTATTTTTCAGTTGACTGAAGCAAAATAAGTGTTCTGTGAATAAAGTAGCTTAAGAATGATACAAATCGTGCTGGATTACACATTAATTGCTTGCCTTGACTAAAAACAACCCAATCTAAGACTTGAATTCAGGACTTAATTTGGAATAAAAGCAGGGAATTTTCAACATCATTATAGTATTTGTAGTCGTTCATTTATTATAGCCAATGTTACTTTAGTGTTACCTTTTTCTCTATCCAATTAATTGTTCTTTTTTTCCCTCTAATTCAGAAAGGCTGCTATAAAACATGATGTTTGGGCTCCACAGAATCATCTGCAGAGACCTATTTAACATGGGACCTAACTCATGTCTTCTAGACTCCATTACAGAGTAAGAAACAGAATGTTCTATAAGCACTAGGGAAATGAAGGGTGTTACAATGATATTGAAGAAGGATTCGCATACCTGACGACGAAAAACACCACAAAATGTACAATTATTCTTTAAACCAATCATCTTCACTATCTCATCCATCGTCCATCCATACAAATCCTTGTAGGAAACAATCTTTAACGGCAATCCGTACTAAGAAAATAACGACAACCATTACATTTGGATTCTACATTATTATGCCCTTGCAAAAATAAGATCACCCGCAGGACTTCACATTCCAATTCAAATCAAATAGCAAAGGCTAAAGCTTACCAACCTGAATTTCATTTCTTTTAACAGTCTCAAGTGAGTCATCCCTGTATCCAGTAATGCCTTCATCAACAGACAAAAGAAAAAGATCCAGCCCATAATTGTGGCGACGATTCAATTCGGATAAAACATAAGCAAGCACTGTCGAATCTGCAACAAACAAAAAAACAAAAATGCAAAACCAAATCACAAAATGAATAGGCAAGCAACAAACATAACCAAAAAGGTGTCTTATATATACATATATAAACCTAACCTTTTCCACCGGAGGCACCAATACCAATCCGCTCACTGGGCTTAAACAGCTGGTTTTCCACAATCACCTGATGAATCTCTTCCTCAAACACCTCATAGAAACACTCCCTGCATATCTTTTTTATATATTTTTGTAATTAACCAAAAAAAAAAAAAAAAAGACACCAATAACAGGTTTAAACCATCAGTTCTTGTTACTTAGGGCTGAAAATTACTATTTAAACAGGGATGGATTATCTTCGGAATTTACCTGCTCTAGGGTTTTAGGTCTCTTGAGTGCAGCTCTCCTTCGGTTACAGAGGCAACACAGTCGACCCCCAGCTTTCTTGTGATTTTCCTCCATATAAATTCGAAAATAACAACTACTAGCAACAATAATTGAAACTTTTTATTCAAAAAAAAAAAAAAAAAATTCAGAACTTCACTTGAGGAAAATAAATCAAAAAAATTACGAATTGGTAGTACTGCTACCGTTTTAAAGCAAACTGTGATTTTTTTTCTATGTTTCAAATAATTCTCAGGCTTATTTAGCGCCAAAATTGAAATGAATTGAATAGCACAAATTAAACAAGAAAAAAAAAAATCAATGCTTTCAGGAGAGGAAACAAGTACTGGATGCAATGAACATGGACTGGGCGTCTTGTTTATATTTGAGCGAACCCCAAAAAGGTGCAACAATTATATAGTTGGTATTACTGAGTCCCCAAATCTCAATTGGATCCTCAAAGTTTCAGAGCTTCTCAGCTGAGGCTCTGTATTCATAATTGTTAATTAAGTCGGTCAATTTTTTTTTTTAATTAAAAAAACTAGAGATATACCATTATATATTACACAATTTATTAATCATCTTCTATAAGGGAAAAAAATCAATCAAATTTGTAATATACAAGGACATATCGATAAGTTCTTATAAGGAGTTCTTGAGAATTGATTAAACAACTAATCGGCGAGCTAATCAAAACGCGGAGAGCTAATGTTATGACTTGTAAAAATAACGATCAACCAACTAAGTAGACATGACGTAAATAATAAGAGGTGTGGGAGAAGAAGCAAGTAATGTTGCAAGACGCAAGTCGAGTGGCTAATAGATGGGTAATCAAGGTCGAAACAAATAGAGCTTCGGATGTTTTTTGGTGTATGAATAGAATAATTTTGAGATGGAGAGTTCATATGTTTCTTTTGCTAAAATTTAAAATTTCTAAAGTCAAAAATTTTCTCATGCAAAAGTTCGATCCCTCTCATAATGATATAAGGTTAGTATTTATAATAAAAGAAGATGGTCATTGACCACTAAGATAATGCCACATTATCCAAGTTTGGACGATCGGATTTGACTTGAGAGATTTAGGTTCTTTGGGCTTAATTGCTTCAACGTGCTAGTAACGGCTAAAAGAAGTAATAATTGGATCTTCTTTTAACAAACCATGCTCCGAGCCTATCAACTCAATCTTTCTAATGCATCATAGTAACAAGACATGGACACTAGCCACCGCGAATACCCAAATCCATCCTTATGACCCAAGACCTTGTGTTGAATTACTCCCATTCTTAGTTCAATTCATTTGTCATGCAATTTAGACCCCTATAAAAATCAAAGAAAAATAACATTAATTAATACATAATAAAAATTAGCTAAATTAATTAATTAAAATGTCGAGTATATATATTTAACCTCCTACACGAACAACCTTATCGACGAGGGTGTTCTTGCAACTGTGTATAGCAAAATAGAAAACAATAATAATAAATAAATAAAATTGAAAAGAATAACCTCACAATGATGCTCACATTTATCATTTCATCAAAATATCTTGTAGTTTTTTAAATTAAGGCTATTAACCCAAACTCTTTTGGTTTAATTAATTACTAATTAATTTAGACCATACAAATAATTGGGTCAAATATTTTTAAGAGGCTCACATTAGGAAACAATTTCTCAAATTACCCTTAAACCTAAATTAGTAAATTAATTTTCTTTTTAGGTAACTATCTTTCAAATTTGAAACTCGACTTGTAAATTAGGAAACTAATTTCTAAAATAGAAAACCGACTTTTTATTTTAGGAAACTAACTTTCTAAAATAGCAAATGTTTTTCCAAAATAGAAAAATTTTTCCAATAACCTTTGATTCTCTTTTATTGTGTAAATGTTTAAACTTATACATATGACTCAATAAGCTTTTAGATATATTGGTAATGTATTAAAAATAAAAGACACCTATTTTATCTCTTCACATATAAATCAAGATTAACCTCTAGCAAAACATCATGACTATCTAATTCTCTAGTAAGTTTAATTAATCTACAATTACTTTTCATGAGCATGGTTACCAAACAATTCAGCCTTCATTTTAATTTATCACGGTGTTATCTCAAACTTGTTTTATAGTATGTTCGATTATGATCATACAAGTTTTCTTCTATTTTCAAATGTCTTAATTTTAAAGCAAACCAACTATGCTTTTTTGGTATACTCCAATTATGACCATAGATTACATGATAAAATATTCATCAAAATGCAATATGATAACTCTTTTAGCATATAAAAAATGACATACCTTATCTCGGTTATCCACCTATCTCCATTAAATTCTTAATGCAACTAACGAATCATCCACATGCAGACTCTTAATTAAGTATATTAAAATGAATATCAAAGTACATAAATCTTTTAATGAGATAATCGTGATGACTTCAAGTCAAAGGACCAATTGTATCCATCTCGTATGAGATTCCCATAGACTAAACCAAATGGGTTCTCATTACGAGTTACGTCTAATGTTATGTTCTCTAATGTTAATTATTTAAGTACTTGCTTTGATATCACCATGTGGATAGGCATGAGATCTCTCACTGCTATCTTATAGCATGAGCATAACACTCACAAGTCTTACCGTATATAATCAATTTCATTATTGATAATACTATGAATTGGGATCTTATTTAAATACATTGATGTTTGTCTCACATATTTTGATCAATCATTAATACAATGAAGATCATATGAACTTCTATCTAATTCTATCAAATTATAAATAACAAGAATTAATAGAAAGACTTCTTTTAAAATAGAAATACAATGTTACAATATATCAAATCATCCAAACAAGATTGGATCTTGGACACTTACATTAATAAACCTCCTAAAATGTTAGCTTAAAATCCATCCTTCGTGATCTTTTATTTGGTCCCTTATCAAACTAAACAACATTCACTAAAGGACTCCTTTTTGTACCACTAAGAGGAGTAAACTCATTCCTTCTTGAGAGGATAATAGAATTATTAGTACGGTGAACACTTTCCATTAAAGTAGAAAAAATGGTCAAGCCAAGATTCTCAAGGTATATCCTATACTCTTTATACATGCCTTGGATGCACGACTTAACGACTTCCTTTTCATCAAAACCATCTTGAATGTCCATAGTACAATTACGAAACCTTTTAATACACTCCAAGCAAACCTTCTCTAAAACCTTACTTCTCTTTCCTCAAATCGGACATGGTCACCGTCTCACGAGTAGAAAAAAAATTTTCCATAAATATTTGACACATATTTGCATAAGTCTAGATAGATCTAAGAGCCGAGTTTATATGCCATGTGTATATCTTCTCGATCAATGACTTAGAAAATTCTTTCACCTTTAAATTATCATCTAAGACATAAACACCAAAAGTCTTTACAAACTTCATAAGATGCTCCTAAGCATCTTCTTATTTTTTGTTAAAAACTTTAAACTTAGAACTCACATAGTCCTTTGGATAAAACCTTATAGCAATGTGAGTTGGATTGGGAAGTTTAAGATTAAACTCATTAGCAGATTTTGTCAACTTTTGTTCAAAAAAATTTTTCAAGTCCTCTTTAGTAAGATAATGGTGTTGATCACTAGAAGTAGCAACATAATAAGGTGATTGATGGTCTTGTATAGCTATATGATGGTTTTTTTAGTGGGATAATATCTTTCTTATTAACTAGTTGAATAGACAACATAGGGTAATCATCAACATTAATAATTGACGATGTTATATTTTTGAAGGACAATAGTTTGTGAGATTTTGCCTATATACAATAATTCCGTGATGTTAATAAAGACTTAGGTAAATACGAGTACTATTGCATTGAAGAGCTTTGAACATCTATTGTTGTTCCTACTATAGTATGAGTTGAGCATCAAGAAAAACTTTCAAAACTTTGGTCATGGACTCGAAGACTAGAATATGGAATAATCATGGTAGGAGCTTGAGCAATACGTCGAGGTAAGCTACCTCCTAGTAGTGTTGGGATGCCGCCACTATCAATTTAAGGGTTTCAAGGGTTGTGACATTCTCGGTGTTAAGCAAGTTGGTGTTGTTAGCATTGTAATTAAGATCATATAGGGTATCATCATTGTTGTGAGCGATTGAGCTAGTAACGGGATTAATGTTCTTTTTGGTTGTCTTGGAAGGGACCATTATTTTTTATAATCACTAACTCTCTACTATAGTCGTTAAAATATAGAGGGAATTCTTGAAAAATGATCGGATGACTAGTCGATAGACTAGTCAAGATGTAGAGAGCTAGTATTATGACTAGTAGAAATAATAATCATCAACCACGTAGAAATAACGCAAATAGTGAAAGGCATGGGAGAGGAGCGAGGCAATGTTAGCAAAGCACAAATCGAGTGGTCGACATTTGGGTAGTCAAGGTCCAAACAAGTGGAGCTTTTGGTGTTGTCCGGTGTATGAGTGGGAGAGTTTTGAGATAGAGAGTTCATGTGTTTCTTTTGCTAAAAATTAAAAGTTACGAAGTCAAAAAGTTCTCCGATGCAAAAGTTATAATCCTCTCATAATGATATGAGGTTGGTATTTATAGTGAAAGAAGATGATCGTTGACCATTAGATTATGTCACGTCATCTAAGTTTGGATGATCAGATTTGGCTTGAGAGATTTAGGTTTTTTGGGCTTATATGCTTCAATTTACTAGTAAAGACTAAAGAAAGTAACATTTGGATCTTCTTTTAACGGATCCTCGCTCCTAGCCCATCAAATTAATCTTCCTAATGCATCCCAATAACAAGACATAAACATTAGTCATGCCAAACTACTCATGTCCATCTTTGTGATCCAAGACCTTATGTTGAGTTAGGTTCATTTTTAGTTTAATCCATTTGTCGTGAAATTTAGACTCATGTCAAAATGAAAGAAAAATAACATAAATTAATATAAAGTAAAAAATTAGATAAATTAATTAATTAAAATATGAAGTATATACATTTCTTCCTCTTTTTTCTAAAGAAAAACATCATTTTACACGGATTTTAATGTTTTCATTAAAAAAATATGAAAAGTAAAAAATTTAAGTGAATATTTTAAGAAATCAATTGTTGGGTAAAGTCCATGATTAGAGTTTTATCTAAGTTTGCTTTTGTTTTCTTCGAAAGCAAAAATGAATAGCAAGAAGTTAACAAATCCAAAAGAATTGTACTGTTGCATTCTATAGAGTTTTATTTGGTGGAATTCGATGGTAGACTATAATAGCCTTGTTCGGTATCTAACCTCGCAATGATTGGATTGCCATGAGTCATGACCTGCCCTCACCTCATTGTTTAAAAGATCAAACACACCATCTTACAACTATCCAATAACCAATTATTACAGAGCAAACACTTCACAGAATCTCTTGGATTTGGAACGCCAATTATTACAAAACAAACACTTCACACATTAAAGAGAGAACCATATCTTTTAGTACTTATTCTTTTGTATTTTTTCTAATTAAGTTCATGTGCTTTGAAAATTATATTTTTGTCTTCACATAGTGTTTAATTTTTGTTTGCTAATTTTGAATTTATTGATGTTTTAGTAGGCACATCTACCACTTCATAATATTTTCTGAAAACATAATTGATTATTTAATGCATAGGAACTTAAGTAGAAAATTATATTACATAAGCCCAACCAAAAGAATTTGAAAGTATATTTATTTATTTGGTCAAATTGATCCCGTCTTTTTAATCTATCTGGTATGTTATTTAAGAAAATAAAAATTAAAAGGAAGTTGTAGTCCATAGATAGCATTATTAATTATGTACATAATATAACATATAGTATTGAATTATCATAATAAAAATTGAATTGATCACAACTATAAATTTAAAAGGATAATTTTGACTTTTTTATATAATATATGTTTTTCAATCTTCTTCTTATTTAGAAGAGAACTAGTCGATTGCTCACACTACGCTACGGGTCAAGTAGAAAAAAATCATTATAAATTTTTAAATTTTTTAATAATAATTTTTTATTTAATTAATTTTTTTAAAATTTTTTCATAAATTTTTTGCTTAAAAAAAACATAAATCATTCTTCTTTATTGATTGATTTTAAAATAAAATTTTTAAATAATTTTAACTAAATTATTAATCAAAATTAAAAAAATTTAAAAATATAATTTTCATAATATTGTATTCCAAAAAATAAAGTTATAATTAACGGATTGACATTCATAAAAATTAACAAATGAAAAAAAAATTCTTATTTAATGTTGATGAGAAGATTAATTTTTTAAATTATCTACGCAACACTATGAGTGAATAGAAAAAATCATTTCAAAATTTTATAATTTTTTCATTAATTTTTATTTAATTATTACTATTTTTCCCCATAAAATTTCTGCTTAAAAAAAATATGATTTATTCTTCTTTATTCAGGGATTCTTAAATAAAAACTTATAATAATTTAAACATGAAATATTAATTAAGAATTCAAAAATAAATACTTTAAAATTATATTTTTTTATAAGAATATATCCAAAAAATAAAGTCATAATCAATGCATAGATTTGTATAAAAATTAACCAATAAAAAAATAAAATTTTATTCTTATTTAATGTTGGTGAGAAGATTTTTTTTCAAGTGTATGCATTTGATCTATATATATTTATTTACAAAATAATCAATAAAATTAGCATAAAAAACTGTATTTGAATAATTGGTTGGTTCCTTTAAAAAATTATTTTAATTATTTTATTTCAAATAAATTGGTTCTATAGTAAATAATTTGTATTATTTTAGAAGATGTATAGTTAATTTTTAATATAAAAAAAATGATTCAATAGTTTTTTTTTATACGTCTTGACCATACCTATTGAACCAAGATAAATTATTTGAAATACACTTTTAACATTTTAGAGTAAAATAATTATATATTTATATATATGCAACTATCATTTACAAATTCTAAGAATTCATAATATATATTATACCAATTTATTTTTTAAAAAAAGAAAAAAATCATGTTTTAAAATTTTATTATAAAATTCAAATATAGAAAAAAATAAAGTATATTTATCAATAAATAAAATTTTATATAAAAATATTAATGAGATGAGAATTTTCATAAAAAAGATAAATTCAAATAATGAAATTTAAATAATAAGAAAATGAAAGAAAAATAAAAACTAAGGATTGAAAAAAACAACATGAGGAATGAAAATAGAAAAAAAGTGTTAAATTTGTATATTAATGCCCAAAAACATACAAAAAAACCACACATAAAGATTACTTAAAGTGTCGTCAAAAGAATGGTAATTTTATGTATATAAAGAGTAAGTGAATAAAAATTTAGGCATATGAATAGTTTGGATTCTCCCGTTACGTTGCGGATCGAATTAAATATATTTAGTTCAATTTGATAACATATATTATGTTGTCGATTAATTAAAATACATTAAATTAAATATAAAATATAAAATTTCATCTAATTTTATAATTTTTAATCAAAATTTTGTGTGTATGTGTATGTGTTGTCCGTGTATATATATATATATATATATATATATATATATGTTTTGACCGAATTTTGAAGTAAAAAAAATATATTTTTTTTCTTTCTTATGCATTTATTCTTAAATAAAAACTCATATTAAACAAATTTTAATATATTTTAAAAAAATCTTAATATTTTTTTCATAACATTGCATCGAAGAATAAAACAACTATAAATACTTGTATGAACATTGATGAATGAAGTTTTTTCACTTATTAGAAGATTTTTTTTTTTAAAGATATACATTTGATTTGTATATATTTATTTACAAAATAATGAATAATATTAGTATATAGAATTGTATTTAAATTATTAGGCGGTTATTCTAAAATATTATTTAATTATTTTATTTGAAAAAAGTAATTTTAAATATTAAAAAATAATAGTAAATAGTTAGTATTGTATGTAGATGCATAATTGATTTTTAATAAAAATAACTACTCTAATATATATTGAAGTAAATAGAATGCAACAAAAATTATAAAATTAATAGTTGATAAAATTTGATTTTATATATATATATATATATATATATATATATATATATATATATATATAATATAAAATCACCTGCAGTGACTTGGAACCAAATAAACCATCCAAACGCACCAGCTAGACCAAAAACTCAGCAACTTTGCAAGGATCAAATTCCAACAAAAAGGATGGAAAAGCAGAGGAAAAAGAAAAAAAAAAAAAAAAAAAGGAGGACACTCAAAGTTAGAGGAACAAAAGTAAATAGCAATCTCAACCGTAAACGAAGCAGTCGGGTTTGAAATATTTGATAGCACTGATGAGATCCAAGTGTGGCAAGAATATGGAAAAAAGAAAAAACCTATAATGCTCCTTAGAAGGCCAAGGAGAGTGCAGACCATTTAATGCTCTCCAGAAGAATAAAGAAAGTGACGAAAATGGGAACCAAATCAGTGGAAAAAAAGCAAACAAAAGAGGGTATAAAAGTAACTGACCGAACAACAAAATGGCAAAGATGCAATTAAGCATGCAGGTTAAGGGCGCAAATGAGGAGTAAGGGAAAGACGGTACTATACAAAGGAGAAGGATGAAAGACGGTAGCATACAAAGGAGTAAAGAAAAGACAGTAACTGACCGAACAGTTTAGCAACTGGAGATTGCCCGCCTGTTTTAGTTTATACCAAAATAAAATAAAAAAATTGTAAAAAATTACAAAAATGCTATATTGCGAGTAGTGATTTAAGGCCCCATATGTTTTAGTTTTATTAGTAATAGTAATCGGTTTAAAACCGCTACCATTAAGGCCAAATGCCTGTTGGCATTTGGTATGCTGTTTAAGTAAGGAATGCATTCAAATAAAATAAAAAAAATGAAAGTAAAAAAAAAATTAAAAGTACAGGTACTAAATTTAATTATCTAAATATTAAACAGTACAGACAGTCCAAACGCTATAAAAAACATCCTCAGACGAAAGGGGCAAGCTTACAGAACCCCAAACACCCAAACAAACGCTCTGTCGTTTCAAATCCAACTTCATTAAAAATCGGTCCTTGAGGCATCCTCTGTTCTCTTCCATGAACACCGCTCCTTCTCCTTCTCCGTCGACCGAAGAACCAATCCCCACTGCTCATTCAAATCCAGTGGTGGAGAATGATAATCACCCAAAACCTATCAACAGAAAGAAGAAAAAAGAGTCTTTAAAGACACAACCATAACACCACCACCACCACCTTCTTCTTCTTCTTCTGTTGCTGCTTCTATGAATAAAAGTTTGCGCGTGGCATACAAACGCAGAAGCCCCAAGGTGGTTTTTGCTCCGCGTGGGCGCAGGGACGGTGTAGGGGATGGTGATGTGGAGGCTATTGCATTACCTCTTGGAATGTCTTTAGCAGCTGTTGTTGCTCAGGTTTCTTCAATTTTTCTGTTTTTTATGTAATGTAGATTGAAATTAGTGGTTTTGGTTCATAAAGTTTGTATTTTAGTATTTGGTGTAGCTTCAACTTTGGTTATTTTTGGTCTGTTTAGTTTTTTTAAGATAATTGGGGTATATAGATGTTTGCATTGGAAAATTTTAGGGTTTCTTTTTGGTTATATCAAATTGGTTGGCATTTGTATGCGCACATATTGTTTGTTGCATGTTTCTTTCTTTCTTTTTTTTTTCCTTTTTTTTACATATATCCATTCAAATCGATATAGTCTCTTATGGCCTACTTTGATTTATGCATCGTTATAAGTGCCTAATTAGTGTATTCAAATCAGTGTCCAATTTTTTATTCAACGCTGTGCTAGCAGCTAATGTCATTTGGTGGTTGAATTAATTTTGATATTAGGTTTACAGTTTACATTCACTCATGCAATGAAAGTTTTCATTCTTGTGGGATGTATGTTGAGGGCATATGTTGTGTTCTTTTAATTTGTATTCCCTGGTGAATCAAAAGGTGGACTGGACTCCGCCTTCTCATTAAAAATAAAGTTAACCCTCAACATCTTCACAGGTGTTTGTTTGAGCCCTAGGTCTTGAAGTTATGTGTTAAGTCTTGACTGCCATTTTTATCAATAGTCTTTTGTTTATTGTAAAAGAAAGCATCGCAAAAATTTTAAATACCATTTTTGCTCCTTTTTAAGGTTTATTTTTACTTTCTAATTGTCTTTTATATATATGTATATTTATATGTATATGTATATGTATGTATTAGTTTTTTCTCCCCTTGTTTCTTTCAGTCTCCCTTTAGTTTCTTACAAGAGTGTTCTGTGAGATTTCTGAACTTTCTAATGAAATGACCTGCCTTGCGAAAAATCTCATAAAAAATACACCAATTGCATTGTTACGGCAATGGAGACACTAAAGAATATTTGTCAAGGTCTTAAGCATCTTTATCATATGGGCTAACCACTTTGCAAATGGGAAATTATAAATTTCCCTTCATTCCTAACCGCTGTTATAATACTTTAGTCACTTAATTTTCTTTTCAGAAAAATTGTTTTCTGAGGTATGCTATGGTTACCAGCCCTGAATAGTTTTGACTTTTGACAATTTTATATCATCAAAACAGTGTTTTGAGGAATTTAGCAAAATAAGAGGCCATGCAACACCACTTAATACTCCATTGGCAAAGTCTATTTGCCAGTTGATATAGTTCATTTGTTGCCTTTTCTTTTTCCTTAGGTTCTGGAGAGAAAAGATGCAGTAGGTGAAAGCATGTCTGTTGACCGTCTTTCAATGGTAATTTTTTCTTTTTTTCTCTTTCAAGACTAACATGGATTTTATATTCTCCTCTCAGAAATAGATCTATGGAAGCCATTACTATGGTTTTACATTCCTTCTGACATACATTTTTTATTTGTATATGGAAGAACATATTAGTTTTGTCACTCAAATGGTCTGTTTGTTATAAATTTCATACCTAGAGAACAATACAATCAGATCAATGAAGTTTCCCATCTAGTAAAATTTTCACTTCAGCTCAGTAAAATCACTGAGATTAGACAAATTTTACTATGCCTACTTCCTTTTGTTTTAATTTTAATGATGTTTGGAATATTGGGAATTAACCAAACTTAATGTGTCTACTTGCATGCAGATCTGCACTTCAGCTGTCAGAGAATCTTTAGCCAGTGTAAGCCAGACCTTAACTGCTCACTCATCCATTGACTCTGGTTTTACAAGTCAAGTTTCCACTTGTACACTTATCAACATCAGACAGGCCACCAAATGCTGACTTGATATGAATGCCCTTCTTCTTTACACCCTATGTGCAACAGGTCTTTGGTGACAAGTTTGATTTATTTGCAAGGAATTTTCAGAAATCATTTGGGAGCACACTGAGTACTCTTAGATTGATTAATGAATCATCTATCAACAAGAGACCACATGCCTTAATTGACCAGAACCTAGAAAGTTCTGCTTCATGCAGGATTCTCAATCAAAGAGTTGGCTGTACAAGTAGAGCCTGTATCAAAGATTGCGACTCAGAAACAGATTTTCCCACCACTTCAACTGAGGATCAAACACATATACCTGAAGAGGTAGAAGAGAACATATCAGTGGGTTGCTTGGGTCAAGAACTTGCCCTTCATGGGCAAACCAACCAACTGGCTTGTGCTCCTAGCTCACACCCTGTAATTAACATGTTTGGCACTATTGAGAAATCTGTTGTGGAGCAAGCCCGTTCTAATGACCTGAAGGCAATAGAAATTAGTCTTGCGATGAAAAAATTGAAGTTGGATGAGGACTTGTTGAATCTCACCTCAGAATCAAATTATCTGGAGCGATCAAAATTAGTAATGGGCATGTCAAAGGCATCCTTTAAAGTTGACAAGTTCAAGACTCAATTAGAAGACACAAGGAACGCTGAGCTGCACAGAAAGTGCATAGATTGCCTTGTTGCTGGTTTGTTCATCATGGCTGCCTCGCTTTCATACAGTGCATATGTTTATTCATACAGAAGGATTGAAGAAGCTACTGCATCTTGCTCTTTTTCACACAAGGCAAGGACCATGTCTTCTTGCTAATGTCATTTGATTTAGTTTCTTGAGATGTGTGTGTCCATCCAGTTTCATGGTTCTAAATGCATTCTCAAGTACTAGGCACTGACAAAGGTGCTTTGTCAAGAAATAACCGAGAGACCAAATAGAGAGACTATTAAAAGAGAAGTTTTAACTATTAAATCAGCAGTGCATTAACTTTGGGCCTTGAGGTAGATGGTAAAGGTTAGTTCTTGGGAGGGACATGGGCAGGCTTTATATTAGAATCATTCCCTTATGTTTCAAACTTGATGAGCAGAATGGAAATTGTGACCAGATTCCATTTTTCAAGTTTAAACATGATTTAGCTATCTTGATCCAAAACAGAGACCTAATCATGAGCAGAATGGAAAATTGTTTATCTTTGTTTCAACGTCTGATGCTATGTATTAAACTCTTTCCAGTTTTTAAATATTGGGTCTATGGATTAAACAATTGCTAATGCCATACCTTTTGTAACAGATGATTTTTATTTTTCTTTGCTATATATATTCTTCTGCCTTAGTTGAATTCATACCAGTTGTCTAGGAAATATTTTTATGTTTCTGGTTATCTGTTTCAGGCGTCCAAATTCGGGTGGTTTACCAAGCCTTTTTCGTCCTTTAATTCCTGGCTGCAGATACTCATGTGTCAAGTTCAAGTTGTGAGCCAAATGGTGTTTGGCATCCTAATTATTCTTGCAGTTGCCTTTTTGCTTGTTCAACGCTCCTCAACTTCGCACCGGACAATGCCAGTAACTTTCATTCTGCTACTGTTGGGAGCTGTCTGTGGTTTTACTGGCAAACTTTGTGTAGATACGCTGGGAGGGAGTGGATCGCTTTGGCTTCTGTATTGGGAATCTTTATGCGCACTGCAGTTCTTCTCGAATGTATGTACATCAACTTTGTTCCGTATACTCCATGGGCCTGTTGTAGCCATCTCTCGAGGGACAAAACCCAACACAGTATGCCCATATTGGCTCCGGCAATTACTTTTCTATGCTACTTCCCTCCTGCTTCTACCATTGTGCTGTGGTCTTTTGCCATTTGCTGGCCCTGGTGAATGGGCAGATCATTTTTTGTTTGGTAAAACGGATGATTGAATCAAGAGTCAGAAGCCAAGGAAAGCTCTTAATACATAGTTGCAACTGGTTGAGCTGCACTGTATGCCAAGCTGCCCAAGTGTTGTGCTTGTGTTCGAAAGAAATTCTGTGGGCAGCTGGGTTTAGCTATTCATTTTGTATACTGGACTGGAGTCCCTGTAAAATTAGCTAGGGCTGCTTTACCAGGACATTAAAATGTTTGTAACTGACAGGTCACTTTATCATCTTGATGCGTAGTTGAATTGAGACCTTTCCTAGTTCTGTTTGGATCAGTTTGCAGCTGAATAATTTTAAAGTTGAACTTGAGCCGTTCGTTCATATGGCTAGGATTTTTATGAGAGAAGTTTTCAGGGCTTTCTTAAATGCATCAGAAGCAGAGAGCAATGTGCTTTATTCATGAGCATTAGATCTATCATCTTGCACTTCCGAAAGCCAGAGACAGATAAAATCTAAGGCCACACTCAAGATAACTGAAAAAAATCATCCTCCAATGTACCAAACACAACAAACATAATTGTTTCGCTCAAGTCCTCAAACCATCTGGCAAATTTGGAAGACTGCAAAAATAAGAACTGCTGGGGCAGACGATACACTCAGTCGTTTATTACGGAATGATTAACTACTACAAGTCATATTGTTTCGGGACCAGAACTTCTACACAAAAACTAATTATATCAAAATAAATATTGGGAAGAAATGGAAGAGAAACCAAAAGAATTCCAAGCAACAGGTGAATTTCACTGCCTGCAACTCTACAACCAGAAAATGTAAATACCCTCAACAATGTATCTTACAAATGCCTGCTGGAGTAACATGTGCGCTTGGGTGACTGTCAAAAAATTCTGAAACTACGAAGTTTATATCTCCTGAGAGACATAGACAGATAGAGTGAAACATATAACGAGGCACCAGAGGCATGCCTCCCAACTTCATGACGAACAAAACCTTTAATTTTCATTCTTTGCAGCCAAAGCAGGCTTCAAGAACTGCCATTCTGTTCCTATATGCATCCACTCATAGAACCTCGTGAGCCTTCCCATAATACCTGTTTATGAATGATGCCTGCAGGAGAAAATCAGAAAACATAACAAGGAATTCAGAAAATCCACTTTTTGGAAAAAGAAAATGCAAGGTCTGCATATACTATCCTTATTGACAAGGATAACTAATTTTATATCCCCTGATAGTTGTAACATCTAACATGGATGTGAAAGAAGCTTGTATTTGGAGTATGAAATCCAAAATAAGCTAATTAGACAGATAGATGAATGGATAATCTGTTTGAATTGAATAATGTCATGCTATAACATTGTGTTCCTACTGCTTGGAAACTGAACAGGCAATCATAAAGATTGCTGGCCATTGAACTACAATCGAATTTTTTCTTTCTATAAGTGATGCAGAGCATAATAGCCAAGGGGTCAAAGGCAGGGCACCAAATCCTGTAGAGTGGAAGTACACAAGGTCAGTCAAAAACTGTCAAGCCCTCTCCAGGTGACACTTCAATGATAAAAACTCAAGAGGTTGAGATTTCCTATTCTGAATGGGCAGATCATTTTGAATGGACAATTCCATCCCGGGGTAAAAATAATAGAAGCTACAAACAAACTCTGATTAATCAAAAGCTGCTTTCACAAAATTATGTCCTTGTGGATATTGTAACACTCTACCTTCACTCTTGATAAGTCAGGTGTATCAGGCGTTTGCACAGGATAGAACTTGTAAAACCTCAAATTCTCAAAAGCCTGTCTAGTTTCCTCATTCATTTCTTCCAAGGCCTTTCTCCTGGCTTCCTTTGCCTGCAACAAAGGAAACTTGTTACAAAGCAGCTCAAAGACCTCTTACTTGCTCTCACAAAGCAAACCAAACAAGTTACCTCTTGATAAGCTTTCCTGGCTTCTAGAACTTTCCCTTTAACAAATTCCTAAGAAAGCAGAGACGCAACGTTCAATTATTAACAAAAATAAGATGAAACAATGAGATATTTGAATATATTTCATAATATTACCTTAAAGGCATCCTTTTGATCTTCAGATAAGTCCCCATCCTCAATCATCATATCAGCGAACTCCTGCAGATTGATAGATAAATCTTAATACAAACTGATTTTGACAAAGTTGAGCAATGATAGGACAAATATATTCCCCAAGAACTCTTGAGAGCAAATATCAAGGCAAGGTTAGGACCTAGATCTTTTTTCTTTTTTTTTTTTTGAGAGGGGGGGGGGATACAATCCAATTCCACGAGCCAAAATGATGGATTTAGAAGATGACAATCATAGCCATATGTTCAAACCAATTCTTCCATAATGACAATTGTCAGAGTAGTTATCATACAATCAAAGGAAATGAGTTAAGCCACTTCATGAAAAACCATTAAAGTTAAATTAAAACAAAAATATCAGAAATAAAACTCGCACCTCAAGTTTATCATATTTCCAATCGAATTCACAGAAAACCTGCAGTTACCAATGACAAAAGGTCAATTTACAGAATCATGTATCATTGCTACCATCATCATCACGACTAACTTAATTGACCATATAAGCTATATTTCTGAAACCAATCTCAACTCAAGCTATCCATCAACATTCAAATGTTTTGGTTTCCATCAATTTGTTTCTCTTCATGCTATTCACTTACCGGCTTTGGTTCTGCTGGGAAAATAATTGGAACCTCAGTGCTCTGCTCAAGCTCATCTTCCTTAAAGGGGTTGTAAAAATCTGTGAAAAAAGAAGCATGTCAGAGGAATAGAACAGTCCACCTTTCATTGGCAATAAAAGCTGAAGGAACGCTAAAAGCTAATACATAAGCTGTATTATCCTGGGCTCTGATTAATCAAACAAGCAACCAAACATGGTTCAGCAAAATTTAAGTGTTGTGATAAAAGAACTTTTGGTACCCATCAGAACTTATATAACAGTTTTTTTCCATTTTTTCACAACATTGTTTAGTACAAAAGTGTGGAATACAGCAATAATCTCAACTTTCCTCAAAACTCACAAGGTAAGCAGTACTCATATTTCTTGATCCGATCTATCTTCAAATGTTTCAAAGCAGCCCTGCAAGCAATCCATATGCATAAGTAACAGGAACAGGCACATGAATAGATACACAGACATCACAACAGTATCTGAAAATTTCAATGAAACATTACAAACCTCAATGGTGCTCATAAAATATAGTATGCTTGTGTGTGTATTCACCAACAAATGATTAACGAACCAGAGAACAAGAAAAGGAGGTTTATAAAGTGAAAAGGTAAAAAGAAAATTCCACTGAAGGAAGTTCAAATCTTAAGTTTTCAAGTTTATTGAACAGTAACTTGATTGCTGTAAGTTTTCTAACAGATCTATGAACATAAAAATGTAGAACCTTCCTCTAGCTTCCACTTTGTTCAAATTTAATCCCAGATGTGTCATTATGTCTCATTATTTTCTTCAATATCACACTTAATGTATACAGAATGGCATCCAATCCTCATGCCAAACGGTCAATGTAGGAAAAATGTAAAATGAGGAACCAAAATATAGCAAAAAGTTTATGTTATATATGTTAAATAAATAATATGATAATGGTTCTCAAAAGCAGAAACAGAGAACTGTATTACCCAAAAAAGTACCAAATCAGTTGACCAGAAACGCCCATAAGACATTTGAGTGGCATGTAGACTTGTAGCATATATTTACGAACAAACAGTGATATCAACATATTTAATGAAAATGGGCAGCAATAAATAGCTTAAGAGCATTTTGTCCTAACAACTGAAAATCTACATACAAAAACCAACTTCCTATCAGAACAGTGCTCCATACATACAGCTCAAGGAACTTTAAAATGCAGGCAAAAGAACTTTGAAATAATAACCATAGGGTAAGAAACAACCTAATACAAAATACTAGAAATCATATGATATGTATAAATATAAACAAATAAATAGACAGGAAGATGGAGAGGGGAGAGAGGTACCTTCTCTGAGTGCAACTCAAAATAAAAATTTGATGCCTTAGTCTGTCAACTCGGCTTTCTCTGGAGAAGGATTTTAAGTTACATAAAAAGAATCAAACAAAATATGCAATTAAAAAGATTGATTGGGAAGAGAGAAACTCCATGAAACCAGTTAGAAATCTACTTTGGAATACCTGTTTTCCAAAGGTATATAAGGAACCCAATCCATTTTCATTTGTTTCATGGGAATTATTTCTTCAACTTCCCTCTGAACTGACTTAATTCCAATCTTATCAGAAGGAGGGAAAGGAAATACAACCTGTAAAAGAAGAAGTTTGATAAACAGAAATGCAGCTGCAAGAAATGACATACTACCATTAATTCAAAGCTGGTTTCTTTCTTTCTCTCTCTCTTTTTCAAGGGAAAAAAAAGGACCACAGGCAATAATGTTTTCACAATAACACCAACATGCAACTGTAATTTTGAAATTAGGACAGATGAAGAAACATGTGACGAAGCAATTATTAAGAAGAAAAAAATGTGTTGGGAAAAGTAACAATCCAAGACATATCGATGTGCTTTGATGCAAGGAAGCACTTATTGGACACCTATACCTAGGGCTTTTGAAACCTAAGATTCTTAACATACAAGGTTTTAGCAAGTGTAAAAGTGGGGACAATGCAAAGGACACAAACACACATAGTTAAACCTTGTATAAAATTAAGTAAAAAAGGCCTATGTGTTATCATGAAGGCAATCCATCTTAAAAATATACAACAACGAGTCTGTAAAGTATGCTCCTTAACAAATTTCACACAACACGTGTACATTAGATTACATGCAAAAGCAACTCTTTCAATAAACTTACCGCCACCACTGCAGGAACGTAGATTAATACACTATCATCCTTGAAAGGGACCAGTTGAGCTGAAGAAACACAAAGAAACGAAGTAAGATTCACATGACAAATGAAAGGGACAAGACACAGAGGAAACAAGCAAAAAAGAAAGCAATTGCATAAGACTTCAGAAAAAAAAATTAGGGATTCAAGTTAGTTAGTAACTCACGCTCGGTACACCCAAAAAGGTAAACTCTCTTCCCATGTAAAACACCTCCTTCTTCAAATGCATCCTGACCAATAAGAGTTGTAATCTCAGTTTACATACATTCTAAGAATCATCTACGCTGCTACTCTACCAAACAAATAACAAAAAAAGAAAGGTATAGATGATTTTATGACACCCACCTCTAGATTAGAGAAATTCCAGTTAAATCCGTAAACCTTCTCCAATTGATCCCACTGCACAAAAAGAAATATTGAAAGCCATAAGAAGCATGATGAATTCAATCAACAAAGCAAAGAACAGAACAAAATTGAAGTCTAACCTCTGTACCAACGGGGAATACTTGCTTCCATAAATCTTCCTGTCAAAAGAAAACAATTTCACAAAGGTTAATTTTTTCATTAACCAACTTAAAAACAACGCGGCACTCACAAAAATTAAAGAAAAAAAAAAAAAAAAAGCAAAATAGCATTACTATAAAAACACTTCACAGTTTCAGAATTTTAACCTTATTGAGTAAGAATCCAAATAATAATAATAATAAATAAAATGAACTAACAAACTGCAGCTATTAACCTTAAACTCAAAGCTAAGCTTTTCCAGTATTTTAAAAAATTAATTACCATCGTAATTAACCTAAAAAATCCGATTCTATTATTTTTTTTTTTTAAAAAAAAGAAAACATATTAAGAAACATAAAATTCAACAAATTATCCCTAAACTTTTCACTATATATAAAAAAAAAAAAATTGAAACAAAATATTGGGAGTGAGTCAAAGATTAGAGTACAAAGTTGCGCTGGTCCTCGAAGTATTCGGGTTCGGGTACAGGTTTGGATGCCTTGACCCGCTTAGCTCTAGTAGGTGGTTTGGTCGATTCGGTGGCTTTATGGTTGTCTGCAGCAGGAGCATCAGTTTCTTCTTCTTTGCTATCTTTCTGGCTTCTCTTTCTCTTGTCTCCTTTCCTCATTGTTGATTGATTGATTTTCTAGAGAGAGAAAAACAAGCAATAGAGAAAGAGAGGGAGAGAGCGAGCTTGGTTTTTTTTTCTTTTTTATTTATGGATCGAAATCGATGGATCCGGATTCAAATTTTAGAGAGAGAAAGGAACATAGAGGGAGAGAGGGCATACATGTGTGTGTTTTGTTTAGGTTTGGTTTTTTAAAAGCGTGAAATTGACGCGGGGAGATAGGGTTTTCTTTCTTTGTGTAGGTTAAAATTTAGTTCCAGAGTCAGGCGCAAAGATTTGAAATTTTTTTCTCTCTCTCTGTAATAAAGCACAAAATCCAAGGGCGGCATACCAGCAACGTCGGCCAGGGGTGGTGTGAAAAAAGGAAAACGGGGGGCTAAGTTTGAGGAAAGGTTAGAGAGTAAATTATGTATTATTGTTGAGTCTCTGTTGGTTTATTATTTTGTTAGTTTTTAAAATTAAATCTTAGTTTGTTGACTAGAGTTTACTCTATTTTTTGAAAATTTTCAAACTCTCCTTTAAATTGATATTTTGGTTCAAAATAATGGTTTATTAAGAAAATGATAATTAGATTATAAAAATAAAAACAAATGAAAAATAATAAGAAAAATATTTAAAAAGATTGTGAGCTGTTGGATCTTGATCGTAACGCGATACCAATGATAGGTCTCGTGCATATTCTTATTGTTTTTTTAATTATATTTAGTATCATCGGTAATTTTAACCAATGATCAAATTATAAACGCCAATAAAAAAAATATATAAAAAAAATTAGTTTTTAAACTGAATAGTTTTGACTAGTTATTTTGATAAAACCATTGGGACTAAGATAATAGTTTTAGTAGAAAGGTGAAAAAGAATTGCTCTTTGGCGGTTTATTATTATGCAATGCAGACCTCCCATTGTTACCTTTTATATTCATCCAATTTTTTGATATTTTAACTGTAAAAAAGTTTTTTTAAAAAAAATTATATTAGCCTTCCTTTTTTATAATTGTTAATATAAATGAACATCTCAATAGTTGTATGCGCGTCATAATGATATTGGCTATCTTTAATAGACTCATGATCAATCTAACGAAAAATATGATCACATAAATTAAAATAACCAAAAAATTTAGTTTGACTAAATTATCAACAAAGGGTTCAACCCGATCAAAACATATGGTAAAGGAGCACTTCAACATGTTTTTAGATGAAATTCGGACAAGTCATGTATAATTGGCCGACAGACTTGTCAACTAACATTGTTCTATCAAATTAACAAAAGTAGTTGACGATGAATATGAACGAACAAGTATATAATGGTCAATTCGGATGATGAATAAATTAATTATAACTTTTTTTTGTTACATAACTAGATTTGTCTAACTAAATCGATATATTACAAAGAAATACAACAATTTTAATCCATCCATTTCTCCACATAATTCGAGCATCGTTTTCTTTTCCTTGCGGTATGTATGTCACAAAATTCACACTACAAGAAAATAGAGAATTAATGATTGATTTTTAATAACGGTTTTGAGTAAACAATAGATAGTTTTGATTCAAATGTTGGTCTTTAACAAAGGTTTTGAAAACATCACAAGCATCGAACAAAGTTTAAAGTTTTTAATAATAGTTTTTATTAAACTATGACTTAAAAAATCATTTTTTCTTCGATTCAATGATGGTTATAGAAAATCATCGCTAAATCCCAAAAAATAGTTTATTAGCAACGGCTTGAGAGACTCGTCACTATTTCAAGTAGACTTTAAGAGGTGAATAAATTCTTATCATATAAGAAATACTTAGGATTCAAGTTGGGAACTTTTAAGATAATTGAATTTAGAACATAGAAAATCCACAACATATGATTTTGAGATTGTACAAATGACTTAGCTACTACTAAGAATCGAAGATATTCCAGGGCCGAGGGACACTTATTTTTTAGAAACTCACAACATATGATTTTGGGATGTCCGTTAACCGAAGAGTTACCGTAACTTGATCATATTTGTTTTGTTTTATTGAGTGCGATTTATTATGGTTAAATTTTTTATGTTGATTATGTGTCATTTTCAAAAGTCTTTGAGAGACTTTCGGAGAAATTATGGCTTAATTACGGTGACTTGCGAGTTGTAACTAGAAACTTCACATCGGACTTGGCTATGCATTATAAATCATATTACTCGAATTGTAGCTAAAATTCTCCTTTGAATAAAACATTATAGTAGAATTCATCATTTTAAATTATATAATTGTTTAAAAAAATTATTTATGTGTTAGTTTAACTAATTGGTTTTAATTAAGCTATTTAGTTGTTAAATTAAGTTTATTATTTTTTAATTTAAATCCTTAAATATTGTTTAAAAATTAATTATGTATTGATTTAATTAAATTGGCATTAATTAAGTTATTTATTTGTTACAATAAGTTAATTATAGGGGAGTTCACTATTCGGTGAAAACCAAATAACCAAATCGAACCGCACCGAAATATCAATTTCGATGTGTTTTTGTTTTAGAAATTAAAAAAATTGAAGTAAAATATATCATATTTTGTGTTTCGAGTTTGATTTTAAAAAAATGGTTAAACCAAATAACCAAAATTCTTTAACTTGACTGACTCATCACTTACTCATCCCTTTAGTTTTCTCTCTCACACGATGAGTCACTCCACTCGCCTCACACTCATGCTTTCCAGTCTCCGAAGCCTAAACCTAAAATCTCCCCTAAATTCCCAATTCCAAATCACAAATCGCAATCAATCTTCAATCGTCCAATCACGGGTTATCCACTCATCCTTATCTTCAATCTTCTTCTTCTTCCTTCGATCCTCCCTCATTGCCGGTGCCCACCGCCTAATGCAATTGCAAATGTGTCCCCCAAATTGAAAAACTCATTTCCCTCAAATCACAACTCTAAATCGCCAACCACATGCTCATGCCTCCCTTCACTTACCCACCTTCTTCCTCCTCCTTAGTCCTTAGGCGGCCCTCAACGATCAATGGTAGCCACCTCCCCCCGTTAAGCCTCTTCGATCCTCACGATCGACGAGTGGACAATCCGATCTTCTCCCACGAGTCCTAGTTAATGGTGAGTCATGCCGACCCAAATAATTATCCAATGAATATAATTATATGAAAATATGAATGAAAAGTTTGCTAAGCTCTTTTACTCCAATTAGTGGATCGTCATTTTGGCTTGTCTTGTTCATTTGGTAACAATAAAAGTAGATAGAAGTAGGACTATAGGACTTCGTAGTTTGTTACACTGTCGCCTAAGCATTTTCTCTTCATTTAAGAAGAGTATTGAGTCAAATTCGTCTAATATCTCTTAATAGATTAGCATTAGGTTGTTTAGGTTTTTGCCTTTGTAGTTCAATAAGTCAAGGAAAGGAAAAGACCGGGAAATGGAGGCAATAGGTTTTGGAAGAGTATTTGTTTGGGGTTTAAGACACCAAAAAAAAAAAAAACAAAAAACAAATCGAAGGTTCAACTATCATCTCTCGTTACTATTGATATTTTGAATAATGAAGTGTGTAGTTTTTTCAGTACTCGAAAATAGAGGCTATCTCGTTATTTCGAACTTTACCTTTGCTCATAATTAGGGGTCAACCTTTTGTTTTATAAACTATCCTTCAACTCGCATGTTCTCTTGTTATGTGAAAATATTAGACACCGGATTTTTTTTTCATATGAATTGTCGTAGATTGTTAGGTTTCAAGAACATTAATTGCTTTTGACCTAGTTTTAATGGCGTGTATGTACCCTTTCTCAAAAAGGGTTTAGTTTTCAAACCTATCCTTGTAAACTAAAATAAAAAAGAACATCGATGTTACTAATTGTTATAGTTCTAAGCAGTTGATTGGTCGTATATAAGAAAAATGTTTTAGATTTTTTTCACAAACTTTGATGGGAGCCATATCATGTAATGGATGAGGAGAATAATTAATCTTTAAGTTGAACGAAATTGTTTCTTGTCACCTTGAAATTATATAGGCAAAGGAAGATAAGTTATTAACTAATTAGGAACAATAATAGAGGTGAAACAAAATTTTTGAAAAGTTAAAAAACTATAACATTCTAAATTAAAACTTGAAACAAATCAATTACTATGGCTATTTCGATAGATTAAACACACAACTAAATAGCCTATGACAATTAATGTCCTTTCGAAATTTGTTGGATCTAGTTAGTTTACTAATTATAATGAAATGTTCTAGGATGAATTCTACTGTAATTTTTTGTTCAAGGGAGAATTTTAGTAATTCGATAATATGATATAAAATGCATAGCCAAGTCCGATGGGAAGTTTCTAGTTACAACATGTAAGTCATTGTAATTAAGCCATAATTTCTCCGAAAGTATCTCAAAGACTTTTGAAAATGACACATAATCGACATAAAAAATTTAACCATAATAAATTGCACTCAACAAAACAAAAAAATATGATCAAGCTACGGTAACTCTTCGGTTAACAAACATCCCAAAATCATATGTCGTGAGTTTCTAAAAAATGAGTGTCCCTTGGCCTCGGAATATCTTCTAATTCTTAGTAGTAGGCTGAGTCATTTGAACAATCTCAAAATCATATGTTGTGGATTTTCTATGTTCTAAATTCAATTATCTTAAAAGTTCCCAACTCTGATTCCTAAGTATTTATCGTATGATAAGAATTTATTAATTGTTTTTGCACAGGCTAGTCAACTACCATCATGGATTTTGGATCGAATTGATTATTTTTTTATTTCGGTAGATAAATTTTACGGTGCTTCTATGCAAAGTTATTTTGTTTGTGCTACTAGCTAGTATCGGTCATTGCCCGGTGCTATCGCCTACTAGCTAGTGCCTAGTGGCCAATGGCCATTGACTACTACTACCCAATACTAGCCATTGCCCAGTGCTTATTGCCTACAGTGGCCATTAGTCGCTATCGCCCATTAAGCCGTGGCCATCGCCCAATGCTACTCGTCAACTATTTTAATAATTATAAGCTTGTATTTAATAATTATTTA